AGCAATTATCTTTCATTGTCAAAAGCGATTAGTTTAAGTAGGACACCTTTAATTCCCTTTAAGTAAAGTTTCAGGTTGAAACCTTATGCAATAAAAAAATTGTTGGAAGAGCTAAACTCATCTTTACTTGAAGGTACTCAACTTAACTAGAATTATCTCTTTTAAAGAATATACGTTATTTAGAAAATAAAAATAATCGCTTTCATTTATTGATAAAATTCCCAAGTGTTAGTACGAAATTTTATCATGTAACAGTTAAATAAGAAGAGGATAAGCCCTTTATTACTGCACGGATTCAGAATTTTAAAACTAATAATTGACATAATTCACTTTAAACTTCCTCTGTGCTTCTCAGGTTTCAAACTATGCATAATAATATGACTATTTTGTTTACACTTTGAGTCATTTTAACAAAAGCAAAAATCATTGGCAATAGAATCTTCGGATTCAGACCATTATCATCACTCATCTCTGGCCTCGGCGCTTCACACATGCCACTCAAGGTAAAAACAAAACTCCATTACACCATGATCAAGAGTATTAGGGTAGCCTCTCATTGTCTTATCCCCCACCAGAGGGCCCAAATCTTGATTCACCCATAGCATACAATACTTGTCCTAGTAGAATGAGACTGCATAGCCCTCCTTAACAGACAAAAACTTTTTTGAGACATGGTTCTCAGGCCTCTAGGGACTCTCATTGCCATCAAATCACCTCAGTCCTCAACTACCTCCAGAGGGTGCACTGCAGCTACACACCATATATACATTAATCATTGCATAAATTATTTCACATCGAAATATCTTGTTTCCATGTCCTATTATTTTGTTTATGACCCTTCTCTCTTGCTTGTATCATGATTTCCCTAGAGCAGATATTGTATCCAAGTAGTGCCAAAGTTTGACCAACTAATACAACTTATTTGAGCAAAGGCAATATAAGGTTGCATCTAATAATAGAATCAAATCCCAAAAAAGAAATGAAATAAAATAATCTAAGAGGGAAACTATTTTTGGTATTTATTTTATATTCCATTTTGGGGTCACTGCAGATTCTGTGTTGAGATTTAAAAATTAACCAACTTCTACTTTGCAATTCGTACATCTAAGATCCTGGAAACTTCAGCCAGTCTGTTCTCTGTTGCATCTATTAATGATTTATGGGTGTTTTGTTGCTAGTTTAAGCAAATCACTGACTGAGTATTTGGGAGCGCCCGCAACGGTATGCAGAAGCATGTGAGCATGGAATCCTAATAATCCTCCGCAATAATCTCATTAATTAATCTCTTTGGAAGGAAAAAAAAATTGGTCTTAACCCTCACATGATTTTGAATTACTGTGAAAGAATGATAAATTGAGTGATTGAATGCACAATCACTATATGTTAAGGTCCATAGGAAATATTCCTTTTATAATACTGTATTTCGTGTCATAAAATAGGATTAAAAAATTTTCATGGTGATCACACTAATAAAATCCGTTGTTTGCAGATAAATGTGAAAACGCCTAAACTAGAACTGAGGCTTAGATGGGAACAGACCCTTTACAACTATGTGCTGAAGAGTCAATGAACTGATAAATGTTTATCCAGCTTATGTTTAACACTTCAGGGTACAAAGAAACCAGTCTTCAAGTGTCTAGAAGTTCCCAAATATTCCTTTATTAATTGGAAGTCAACTTTCGAATCAAAGAGTGTGTGTGACTCCACAAGGAATTACACCAAACTCGATAAGATATATTTATAAAAACCTGATTGGGTCAAATTACATTAACTATATAGTTTTTGTTTGATCTATTGCAACAATCAAGCTTGGTTTAGCATCTTAAAAAATTGCTCGTAGCACAAAATGTACTCCCCATAACTCTTGTAAATCGCTGTTATCTATCTATCTATCTCTCTCTCTCTATATATATATATATAGAGAGAGAGAGAGAGAGAGTTGCATTCACATGTATGGCCTGAATCGATCCTATTCATGCGACTGTAATTTGACGGAATGGCTAATTGTTCTTAGCGCAGAAAGAAGCAAAGAATATTAAAGAAAAAGGCAACAAAATTATACATGATAAAGAAAGAAAATATTTATAAAGTAAAAATGAATCTCACTGCCAGTTTTAAGATCTTGCCATTTCCAATCACATAATAATAATACACCAAATCTGTACTAAAATACAAAGAAAAGGTAAGTAAAGCAATATGGGTCCTTTACCTCGCACCTTACAGCTATGGATGGGGTCATGAAGTTTTGAGTTCCATTATAACCGAAGAACACACAAAGATGAATAAGCAACGCTATTCATTGCGTCAAAATTCGAATTATTTCAATTCTTGTCATTAAAATATGATTTTTACTTAATAATTTAAAAGGCATAAATTGCATCAACAATTTATATTATACAAGATTAACTCGTAGAATAATTTAAATTAAAATGAATTTATCTGAAAAGAAATTTTGAAAGGTCGAGAAACTGGCGAAAGCTTTTGCTCAATTATTGGGACAAAAGTCGCTCTTTGTAATGGTGTGACTGGTGTCCCTACCATTGGGTTTCCTTCCAATAATGTGGAGTTACGCTATAGGTGACTAGCCATGGGAATGAAGAAAAACAATAATTAATGTTGCTACTTCAAATTTGGGTTTTTTCTTTTTTTTCTTTATTTTGATTTGTAAACTAAAAAATATTTTTTTAATTTTTACTTTAAAAAAATCTTTATGAATTAGTTATTATAATTTGTCCAAGTTGTAATCAAAGGCGTTAAAATTTACAAAAGTAACTAACATTTTGCATTACATGGTTAATTTAGAAAAACTTAAACGCAAACATAATTTCTCAAAACGATAGGAATTAATTTGTAAAGTATTTTTACGTAAAGAACAAAATATATAACTTTTTTATGTAAGGTCTAAGATAAAAATGAGGTATAAGGACCAAATTTTAATTTAAGATTTTTGTTCATCACGTGTACCACTTTTATAAAATAATTAAATAAGAAAATACACATGTCAATATGCTATTATGTCTATCTTTGTAATTTCAATATAAAAGTAAAAATTGTTACAATCGTATGTCTGATAAAACAAAAACACGCTTTTTGAGGAGATGCCTTGCAGAAATAGGAATAGTTAGTAAGTTATGCAAATAGTAAGAAATTAATGGAGTTCATTGTCCAAACGGTGACTGCTTCTCTAACGGTTAATAACACAAATTAAACTACCAAAAACTATAAATACTTCACGTAATTATCAAAATTCCGAATTTAAAAAATGAAAAGATTAAAATCAAAATCTCATAATATGTAAAAATTACAAAAATATATTTAAGCTTTTTCTCAAGAGAAGAAATTTGTGTTAATTAGGAATGATCATCGCACCATTTCAAATTTAGAATCTTCATTCGCTCACATATTACGTACTAGAAATGGACCACAGCACTATTAATGTGATGAATGGTAGATGAAAATAGATCGAACAGTATTGTGAGGTGGGCCTGTTAAACATAAATTTGGCGAGTGTGAACATGAGAATTTTAAGCTTTGCTTCTCCCCTTTTACTGCTAATTTTTCTTCCCCTAAAGAATAAATTCGGGGTTGAACAGTAGTAGGTTCCAGCCTCCAGAAAACAAAGAGGAGCTTCTCATGTTAGTTTGGATGGTCCAAGCTTTTCCCTGTTACATATGTGATAATGATATGATTATAGTTTTTTCTTTTCGTGGCTGTTAAATTTACTGTCAAGACTCCTTGTTTTGCCCCCTTCCAACAAAAGTGCTTCTGCGGTGGTAACTAGCGTAGGTTGCAACTGTTGCTTGGGATCCTGAATTTGTGTGCCGCTCATATATATTTTTGTATTGCATTCATTGCGAACATTAAACTAAGCTCCTTACATTGACCCTGGAAATTTAAACGACCCAAATAGACCTACCTATATGGGTATGGGGCATGTAGTTATATAATGGTATTACACTGCGATAATCAACCATGATTTCAACGTCAATTCGACGATCCTAAATTTTCTGACCATTTTATTATTCAGAAGATTTAAGATTTTGGGTCCTTAACCAATGACCACATTCTCAAGTTCAGAACTCAAATGTGCATTATGCATACATACGTAACACATGTCATAACAGCGCATAAGGTGCTGAATGCAAACAGTCCCTAGAAAGAGCCATCTGAACCCCATCGAAAAACATTGGGTGGATTTGCTTCACGTTAAAATTTAATCATATACGCATTTTGCAAAACTAGCTACGCATGCACAAGTTTTTACTTCCCCGAAATGCAACATTACAGCCAACCAAAAAGAAACCAAGAACATCCACGTTGCGTGTCAACAAGTTATTCTTAGCTGTACGTGCTACGGTCAATACTATTCAAAGCTTTTCCCCCACTTTACAAATCTGTGGTCAATCTGAGGGTACATTTCTCATGTCATTTAATCATATATTCATATGACAAAGAACCAATGGTTTGTATTACCTACTTACAATTGAAAATTACGAGTCCCATTTCTAAGATATCCATTTTCACGGGTCAACTTCTTCGTATAGTAGGGGATTGATTAAAAAAATACAGAGAAGAAGAAACTAAAAGTAAAAAATTAAAGAGTTTAATGCTGCATTATTATTATAAAAAATTCTATACCATTAATCAATTGAAGTACATAATACGTATAATTTTTAAATTTACTGTTGTCAAAATTAATTTTGCTCATTTAACGATTTATGATTCGATAACATTATCTTTTCCAATTAAATTCAAAATGAAAAAATGTAAATAGAGAATCTGCTTTTACCTTTATTTAGTCCTGTCAATGAAAAGTAGAATAATAATATAACACAAGATCTGCAACGATTTCTACATGTATATTTCATTACATGTGCAATACATCAAAGATATTGTTGAATTTTGACCACGATGCCACAGCAAAAGCAGAGGAGGCATATCTCCTCTGCAACTTGCAGTACGAAGAACAGATAATTAGCAGCAATGAGGAAGAGGGGTTGGTCACAAAACTAAAGTGGAAGAAAGTGAAAACACAAGCTGCTTGAGAGACAAGAAATGTATGTGGCCCTTCAAGTGAAAAATTGGAAAAGGGCTAACACATTTTAACTTTAAGTTAAAATAATTTAATATATGTAACCCAGAAAAGGACAAAACTTAAAAATACATAACCAAAGGAAAGCACACACCGACGGGTGACCTTACTGCTGCCACAATGAACCCTCAAAGCCACAAAGAATCACACTTTCTGAGTCTTGCATTGAAATCTGATCCCCAATAAAATACCCCCCACAATCCCTGTCATCATAAATGCCGTGACACCAAGGGTGAGAATAGGGCCACCCATCAACCGGGTCAAAAAACACCAACTCGTTACTCGGGTCGGGTAGTTCAAAACTCGTTCCCAGACTCGGAAGCTCCACTATTTCATCCAACTCCTCCGGAGTGGACGGGTCGCCGGAGCCAGAAGACACCGCTAATGACGAAGACGAAGAAGAAGACTGCGACAGCGACGAAGACGACGATGAAGAAGAAGAAGAAGACAAATGCGACGTCGTTTGGGGATCAAAAACATCCATGGCGGCGGCTTTAGCGGCTGCGGCTTGAACATCTCGAGGCGAGTTAGAGTCGGGTCGAGGCAACGAAGCCGCGAGTTCGGGGAAGTTAAGGATAGCGGAGTTGCCTTTAATAGTGAGCGCCGCGACGTCATGGGCACGCGCTGCCATCTCCGGGGTGGCGAAGGTGCCGAGCCAGATCCGGTTCTTCTTTCGGGGCTCGCGGATTTCGGATACCCACTTTCCCCAGGCCCGCATCCGTACGCCTCTGTAAACCGGGTGTTTGCTGGTGCTATCTCGGGCTCGCCTGGGCTTCTTTTGATCCGGGCCCGGTAACTGGGCCTCCATGGATGAGTGCTTATGAGACTCGATAGTGACGATTGGTAAACATGGTTGCGATGATGATGATGGTGAGCTTGGTAGCTCAGCCATTACGTTCACTCAGTTTGTAGCTTGACAATGAGTTGTATATGTCTCTCCTTTTGGTTTTGGTTTAGATTGGATTACTGAATGCTACTGTTTAAAATTTGTATGTGTAGTTTGATTAGAATGAAGATGAGAGGTAGTGTGAATGAAGAAAGTTGACGAGGTAGACGAGAGTGATGACTGATGGAGGGAGAAGGAGTTGGGGGGGTTTTAGTAGAGGGAGAGATATGAAAGAGAAACGTGGGGCTTTATTTGTATGTGACCCCCACACGAATGGCTCTGCCTTGAAACACCCATCATGCCTTAATGAGGGAGCATGCATATGCATATGAAATACTACTATAGCACATAATGGTACATGCACATCTTCAAAGATCTAAGAGAGAATTTATGACAACCCAAAAAAGAGGTTTCTTTTATTTTATTTTTCTAATGAGGGGTGTGTGTGTGAGAGAGAGAGAGACAGGGAGATAAACCAAACCCTAGGGTGGGTGTGGGTGAGTTGAAAGGTGGCGAGGGAAGGAAACAACAAGGGCCAGGTGCCCTTAATAGCTTGACCATTGTCATAACAAACACAGCCTGGCAGAGGAGGAGATGGGAATTTTCCTTGAACGCTGACATGCCCTAATAATGCCTGCGCATGCCTTTCCTCTATGTTCTACTTCCATTCCTCTAAATTCATCTTTCCAATTTTCTTTTACCCTCCTATCATTGTCCCATGCTCTTTTTGTTTTCCTTCTACTTCTCCCTATAATAATTCTAAGTATATTGTTTAGTAAATTAATACTTCCAACTTTCTATTCAAACTATATTAATAATGTTAAATGCTGTCTTCTTTCTTGTCTCTTTTTATAATTAGATTTTTTTTATTTTTAAAAAATATAATTTCACTATATCTAGTCTCATTATAAATACTTATTTTTGTTAAATTTAATTCAGATTCTCATTAAATTTGTTCATTAAGATCAAATTAAAAATTATCTTACAAAAATACTACTAATTTTTAAAAAAAAATATGATTTATAAAAAAAATCAGATTAGTATTCACTCATGAAAAATAATTATTTAATTAATATATTTGAATGTGTTGTTTGACAATTTTTTTATTTTTATTGTTATTATTCAATATGTTATATGTGAATTGATATGACTAATTTGCCCTCTGGTCGGGGGTTGTTTCTAGTTTCTGTTGAAGTTACCTTGGTTTTGTCATCTTGCGAAGGAAGGCTGGGAGAAATAATGTAAAAGGCACGGCTACTGTCACTATATTCACATTGTCACCCACCTGACAGCAAGAGATAAGGGACTAGTTTTCACTTTTCAGTGAGCTTGGAAAAAAACGTTGGCGTTTTCATTTGTTGTATTGAGTTCACGTCTGCTGAGGCTTAGGTTTGTTTATCTATTTTTCTTGGAAAGCATGACAGAACAAGAACAAAATCTACTGTTTGGTTTTATCGTTTCACTAATAGCTGAATTCCGAATAATATAGAATCTAAGCTTTAAAATAATTGGCCCCAGCTTTCGAAAAATCCAACAATTCACCTAGCTCTTTTTTGGATATTTTCCATCTACTTTGTTAGTATGTACGGAGGGTCTGTCTAAATATGTCATAAGTTAATAAAGTTAAAAAAATTATATTTATATCAAATTTTTTAAAAGAGATTTAAGATGAAATTATTTATTTCATTAAATAATTCACACAAAATGAATCGTGATTCTTTATGAGTTAAAAGTATTCTATAACCTTTTAGAAACGGTCACAAGTTCAGCTAAACGGAATTTTCTAGCATTAAATTAAGGAAAAGGGAGAGAAACTTTGTGATTGAGGAGTTGGTGATATAATTGATGAGCAAAATTAAGACCCTTTTTCTATTTGTTTCTGGAAATCTTAATTAGGGTGAATGGTGATTATGATTGATACTTGATAGAGTTGACGGATATTCCACGTTGTTGTTCCCCATCCGTTTCCCTGTATCCGAACTCCGAAGTTCCAACAATAACGTTGATTCTATGCTCACAAATAGCAATCCACGAATTCATTGCGTGTTTGCTTGTCATGAGATTGGCGGAGATGCCGATTACTAGAGAAGCTTTTTTTTATCTTAAGCCAAGCACAAACATTAGATTAAATTACATTAAATTAAATTGAGCGATGAAATGATATATGACATACAATATTGATGTTTATACAATGTATACTAAAGTTTTATACCAGTGAAATATTTTATTATGGAGTATATTATTAATACAAACTCAAATATTGTACATTAATTATTTAACTTTTATTAAAAATATGTTAACAAAACTTAGGCTAAGATTAAATTATTAACCAATATCATTCTTTTAAGTATTACTTTTGCAATAATGGTCTTGTTGTTGACAAAAGTTTAGTGCAAATATTTTTTAAGTGTAACTCGATTTCTCCTTCCGTTGCACTCTTGGATGCCATTTGAATAGAGGAGAGAGAAGTAACATCTTCTGTTTGGTTGGGGGAGAGGTTAGAGAGGAGGGATTTTTTTTAAGTGTAAAAAAAAACCCATTTTAAAGTGAAGAAAGAAAGAGGAAAATAGGAGGAACTGTTTCATTTTAAAATTTTAAAATATATTATAATAAAAACTATATATTTTTTTTATAACTGCTTTTGATACAATTAAATTACATTTTCATTTTTTATCTCCTATTTTAATCTATTTAAATATTAAATATATTATCATTCGATTTTTTTATTTTATATTTCAGCCTTTAAATTTGAAGTACCTATGCAGAACAAATCATATTAAAAATAATTACTGCATTTTGTTTAATGATTTGTTTAACACGTGTTCCAGTATTAAAAAATAATTTATATATAATAAAATTTTATTAAAAATTATAAGACGTCATAAAATTTAATGAATTAATAATATTAAATGTTTACAATTGTTAATATCTTTTTTTATTTTGTAACACATTTTTAATACAGATTAAAAAAATATTTATTTAATATTACATTCTGATTTGTCATACCTTAATTTTTATATTTATTTTATAATTTTATTAATCTTAAAAACTAAATTTAATCATCTACAAATAATTTTCTTTTATAAAAAAAATACTGTTATTATATTAAAGTTATAAAAATATAATTAATATTCTTTTATAATAAAATTTTATTATTATTAACTGCTTATTCTCTACTATAAAAAGTTGAGGTTAACAAAATTATTTTTATTATTTTATTTATTTTTCATGATATTACTTATATACTAATATATGTTACATATTTAATTTCAAAATACTGGACTAACTGAACTTGTTTATTCTCTCTTTTTAAATAGAGTTTTTTAGTTTTTAAAATTAAAAAATAGAAAAACTTATTTGTTAATGTAAGTTTTAAAAACTATTTTTAAAAATAATTTTTTTTTAGTTTTTAAAATTAAATAACAGAATTATTTTTTAGGTTTTTTTATTTTTGTTTTTCTGTTTTTTTTTTCTAAAATTAACAAAAGTCTAACTAAAACAGTTTTAAAAACTAAATTTTCAAATAAAATTTATTTTATTTTATTTTTTAAAAAAATTTATAAAATTATTTTAAAAATTAAAAATTAAAACTAAATCAAACAAACCCTCACTTTATTTTAAAAAGGCTAGCACAAATAATCACGAATTTAGATGGCAAAGAAAACTCTCACTTTGTTTTTATTTGTACAGGTTTAAATTTTTTTAAGTTGTCTAAAATATTACAGAATAATTTTTCCACTCTAAGAAAATGTCATAGTGTCTAAGGATTTATTGGATAGTTATAATTGAGTAAAATTACTTACCATTTAAGTTTATATAATAATCTTCTGCTCTTTAGATTAAGTTTTTTATGTTGATCTCCTCAAGACATAGTGAACGTCTTATAATATCAAAATACATTTGTAAAATAACATAAGTTTTTCACTTATTAGTTAGTTAATTCTTGTATTTCGGGAACCTTTGAAAAAAAAATTTATCTACTAGAAAGAGAACACCAAAAAGTTTTTTATATGACAACACCAAAATCTTTGTTTCCATACTATTTGACATTTTTTTAAGCCAGAGAATTTGGTATCTTTATTAGGAAATAAGCAAAAGAATTCTCCAATTTAAAAAATAGAATACTCACATACTCAACAGCTTTTTGACTAACTGCGAGATGATAAATAATTAAATAACTAACTAATTATTGATTATAAACAATTAACTCACTATTAAATTATCTACCACACTTTTAAAATTGAATCAGTAATTAAATGGATAAAGGCACTGAACCGAGTAACAATTAAGTATACACGTTTAATATTATATAATATATTTAATAATAATAAATTAATATAAATCATGTAAAATTTTGAATGACATAAAAAGATCATATTATCTTTTAAATGATTTAAAAATAATAATCTATAAATATATTTCATATATGAATTATTAATTTTGAATTAAAATATTCAAAAAGAAAAAGAAAAACAAAAGAATATTTTTTGTTCTTCTGAATTTACCGGTTGAACCAATTTTTTGGCTTAACTTCTACCAATTTTAAACGGTTTGTGACCTTGCTCCTCCAATTTTTTCTGGTTATCTAAACTTGTGACCCAATGACTCCATTTCGATTTTTAAAACGACAATTATCTAACAATTTTCAGAATATTTTACCTTTTTCATTGTCCGCTAATTCATCGAAATTTATTCTGTTGTGTGAAATGAGGTATCCTTCCATCAATAATAAGAAAATAATATTTTTAAAAGATAGAAAATAAAGTTTATCCCTTCTTCTAATAAAACTTCTTGAACATATATAATTAAAAATTGAATCTTGATTAACTTACTTTGTAGATATAACTATTTGGTAATTCTATTGGATGTTATCTTTAATTGAATGAACCCAATGACTTTTTGTTGCATTGCTCCTTGTCGTAGTCTTGTAGAACCATATGATCAAAACCACAAAAATGGCCACGAGATTCATAAATTCAAGTTCTTTTAATGCAGTTACGTATTATCTCATTTTATCAGACATACCAAACAAAAACATTAATTTCTTTATTTTTTAAATAAATATTTGTTCTCAACAATAAAATGTCAAACGTGCTATAATATTTATAAATATTACTAAAATAACATTTATCTAATTTTTTGGTTACAACATTTAACTTACTAAATTAATTGTAGAAATTTTTAAAATGAAAATTTCCACACATTTGTAC